TCGACTTTGGGGCGCTCTTCTAAATTCGTTTGCCAAGAAAAGATTTTGTATTTGCATGGGTTCTAGTTGACTCCTGAAGCTTAGTTTATGCTAGACGTGTGGTGGCTACTCACGCCTCGAGATTTTTTTTACGTCGCGTCGGGTTCGGGTATATTTGGACTCTTCATGAATTTCTTTTGAGAGATCGGATGGCCCAATAAATTTGTAAATATAATTTTAGAACGCGCCCATTAAGTAGTATTAAATAAAATTATGACAATAATTCGAGCCGCGCAAATGGATTTTATAGACTGGCACGAAGGTCTGCGAAATAGCACGAACCAACCGTTTTGGAGGCGCTAAAAGGCATCTTTCCAAAGGGGTACGGTATCTAGAAATTGTTTACATGATAGAAGGACCCCAGTCCTATACAAACAAGCAAAGAAAACACCTAGGTTCTGTTCGGAACTTTAGGAATATTTTTTCAAAGTTCGGTTTCGTCACCTCGAAAAAATCCATGACCAGGGGGTCGTCAAAAAACTCAAAAATTCGTGGATCTGAAAAAATTCTTTGATGTTTTTGTGCGAATGTATCGAGCCCATAGACATGCTAAAAAAGCTTATTTTAAGGTTTCTGCCATAGGTTTTTGTAATATTCGAAATTTACGAAATTTCTTCATATTAAATTCGAGCATGCTATAACTTGTCAACCAGACCTTCGAAAATTTCAAAATTCCGGATGTGCGTAGGGGCAGTCCTTAGGTACCTACACTGTAAAAATTGCAAGTGTTCGACCACCAGCAATCGTAAAAAATGCAAACGAAGTTTTGCCGGAACGCACATTTTTCGGGTGTCATTTGTATTGATACGTCGCCAAAAATCGAAAAAATCAAGTTGTGTTAAATCTTCATACCCAGCATATTTAAGCATTCTGGCATGGTAACGTACCTTCGATTCTCTCCTATAAGCGAGATATTTTGGTGCAAACTTCACTCTTTTTTTTTGACGCACCCTGTACGCATTACTAGCGAACTTACCGATCCCTAGGTCTGGCAAAACTCCCATCTATCCCCTCAGAACTTGAATTGATTATTTGTTTTTCTACGCGCCTTTTTTCGGGGTGTGCTAGTTTCGACGCGAGTATGGTTATCGTAGACAGTTCCCACGAATATTTTCGAATATTTTTGAGGAAGAAATGTCTAACTTGGCTCAGGCTCAAAAACCTACTACTGTATTGTTTTGAATTCTACAAACTCGATCTTTTATTAGTTTTTATTCAGGCTTTTGAGCAGAGTTTAAAGCTTTTGAGAAAACCCTTTATCAAAATAAACTAAGAATATTTTTTGGCGTTTTGTACGTTTTTAGATAATTCCGTGGCTCACAATTTGATTCCAATAATGCACGTTGTACTGTAGAGCATCGACAGTATCCCCAGAACGACCACCGTGCCCAAAATCATCTTCCAGTTGTACTGCTCGACTCCCTGCGGACCCGGGAACTGCAAAAACAGATTTTAATTGAGTCCAAGTCCAAATACCATACCGAATACACCGCGCCGTAATAGTAAACATCAGAGGTCAGCGACAGGTTCAGCAGGTTTTTCGTCTCGACGTAGGAGAATTGGGTTCGGAGTTCGGAGGGCTAAAGGAAAAAGTTATCAAAATTGTTCGATTCTGAAACGGTTTTCGCTAGCTCGCCTGTAACAAACCTGCATGGTGAGATATACCATGGCCTCAACCACGAACGGATTGAAAATGTGGCAAATGACGATGCAAAAAATTCCTTTCTTTGTCTCGATGGCCGCTTTGAATTTGCTAAAAGAATTGTAACGTGGAGAAAGCCATAAGTTACCCAGTGATTTTTACATAGCGATAGAAGCAATGGATCATTAATAGAGATAAGGATTGTCCAAAGCCATTCACAAAGATTGCAAGTCCGACTTTAGCCGCAGCATATAGGTCTACGAAGGTGCGAGACATGAGGATAAACCCGCGTTCATCAAAGATGTAGACCTGAAATAGATGGATGATTTCTCCCTCTTTCTCTCTCTCTCTCTCTCTCTCTCTCTCTCTCTCTCTTTCTCTTTCTCGGTCTATCACTCTCTCGCCCTCTCCCTCTCCCCCGCTCTCCTTCTCTTTCTCCCGTCCTCACACCCTTTATGCCCTATCCTAAACCTCTTCTTCCTACGCTTTCGAATAGCAACATACCGGGTTGACCGTCTTGATGACGATGGAGAAATAGATATTGTAGAGCGAAATAATGGTCAGCATCGTTCGTGTTCCCCGGGTTTCCATCGAGTAGGACGTGAAGATCACAAAGAGCAAGAACATATTCGTGCTGACCCCAACGACGGACAGCAGGGCCCCGCCGTACATGTGCGAGTCGCGGTTGCAGAACATCTGAAAGAAGCTAGAATTGCTGTAGAGGAACGTCGGGTGCATAGAAAATTGCCTTAAATAAGCCCGGATTCACCTTGAAACAATGCTACACTAAATTTGGGACCGGTTTTGCTCGCTGAATGAGCCTGATTCCCCACGCCCACATAATGGACCATTGTCAGGACATTGCAAAACCCAAGACACCTATTTGGGGATCCTGCTGTCGTTTCATAAGAAATATCAAGTACTCAAAGCAGTTTGAGCAAAAATTGCAAAAATTCATGCAGAACAAAGGAAAGCAAAATGTCCTTTTTGTCCCAAGCGATGTTACGCATTCCGACGCGACGTCGGGATCACACGCAAATTTGGATGCAAAGCACAAAAAATTGGTTATTTTGTACTTTGCATCATAATTTGCATAATTTGGTATGCGTAACATCACTATCCCAAACTGACCAGTTGCTCTTTCTAGCCAATCCTTGAGTTAAAATTACAATTTTTCCACTTTTAGATCCACCTGAGAGGAACCACAAAATAGCTAACCATTATTACCTTACCCCCAGCTGGTAATTCCGAAAATTTTTCGACATTTCTGTTGCTCTATCGGGATTGTGGCCGCGCCATTCGCTAGAGCAGCAATTGTTAACTAAGAATCTTAATTACAACCCAAAATAATCAACTATAATAATTTTCTTGAGGCGTCAGTGTGTGTGTGTCAGGTCGTGAATTCAACTCGAAGGGGAAAGGAGCTAGAGCTTAGCGGGGTAAACATACTGCATATAGTGCATCGGTTAAAGTAAAATTTCAGCTGAAGGTTAAGGCTTTCACACCCGGTCTATTTATCAAGTCCGAATCCCAAGACTACGCTTGGCTACGCGTTCTGTGTCAAAGTGCGAGCGCATTTCCGGTCTAATTCAATCGCACACGCTTGAGCAGCTTTGAAAAACGAAGTCAGGCAGGATAGAATTGGTACAGACAACGGGGGCTCTTACCCGGAAACGGGCATGTAAATAAAAGAAAAATCGTGACTAGCTGTCTGGGCCCAAATATCGTGCAATTGGCACGACGCTTGATTACGGTATCTATGCGAATTCCTAAGATTTCCAAGCTGTCCGGTCAGTCTGGAAAGGAGCGAACCAAAAACCGTCTGCTAATGCGAGAATTTTTTTGGGAAAACGGTGTGAACCCTGGGACCTACAAAAGACTAATTTTTGACCGTTTTCATGCACCGAGAACAAACTGCCAAAGCAAACAGGCTCTTTGGCTCTGGTGGGAACTCTCACATGATTAATGCAGGGTTTGCAGGAAAAGAATACTTTTAGGCGTACAGAAATAACCCTTGGAAAATTCAACTTGGGCAGCTCTGGGTTTTGGTCTGGTTGATAATTTGCAAAATCGTATTTTCCAAGAACTCTCTGAATTTTTAAAGCGCGGGAGGCTCTACCGTATTCTGGGTCCCGATTCCGAGAGAGGCAGACACGCAGACAGACAGACAGAGAGACATAGAGAGCGACGGTGAATATGCGACTCTGTAGGCGAGAGCGAGAAAGTTTCACTTAAGTCATAAAACAATTTTCGAGATTCCAGATTCGAGAGCAAGAAACAGAGGGAGAGAGAGAGAGAATGAGAGAGAGAGAATGAGAGAAAGAGAGAGAGAGAGAGAGAGAGAGAGAGAGAGAGATAGAGGTGAAGACAAGGATATATCAGACGAGATCATGCTCAGAAAAGAGGGAAACTGATCGGAATCCCAAGCCATATTTCATGGGGAGCCACGGCGTTTATAAAGCGAGCTTCCCCCCCCCCATCCCCATCCCCGATAGGAGATATGCTGAACTTAATAGAGCACATGGCTCAGCGTTCCAAAAATTCGGTGGCCAATCCCAAGAAACCAAATCCAGAACACGATTCCCTACGTCTGGGGAACATTCCCACCATTTGCAGCAAATTTCAGGGTCGTAGGAATAATAAAACCACGTAAGGGCTATTCAATGTTCATATATTCAATTACTGTTAGTAAGTGACTTTAAAAGACAGTGTTGGCATCCGAGTCGGATTCGCATCAATTCCTTGTTCGCGAGAGTTCCTTGGGGAGCTTGGGAATTCCGATCAGCGCAAATAATCTTGTTATTCGATTTTTTGGGACTGATCCACACTACGGTAGCGGGCGGGAGGGACGAACTACGGAATCCGCGATTTGAACGATCATCAGAAATAATTTTCAAAATATTTTCAACTTGGAGCTTTGGGTGACCAGCGGTTAGTGGAAGTAGCCGGAGACCAAGTTTTGCGTTTTTGAGCGATAAAAGAGCTCCCCACGACTCCTATGGTTACAAGCCCGGGATTAAGTTATTTTACCACAAAGTTGAAGACAGACATACAGATAATACATTTTTTCAGAATTTTAACTACAGTAAGCGTTGGTTCTCTGACAGGGCCCGGAAGCTTGGTCACAAGCTACCAATTTTCTTGCTCATCCGAACGGTCCCAGGGGGCGAAATGTGCTCGATTGTACTTACGTGATTGAAACCCAGTATTTATCTAAAAACGAGACCATTAAAATGCACGTTTTCGCGTGAGGCATCGTTTCATTGTTGAAGGTTCATAGCGGAAGTATGCTTCAATTCCGTGATTCTAGCTGCGATCAGTTTCCGGTTGGATACCCGGCTTCGGAATAGTAATAATCTTTTTCTGTGAGCTGCTGATATCTCGGTATTTTCTAAATAGCGAAGTAAAGAAAAAGCAAAAATATAAGTTACGAGTTCTTTGAAAATGCTACCCGCGAGTCATTTGGTAAACCGCCGCCCGGTAAGGCTGGTTAATCAGAATTACGGCTAGCGAGTGGCATAATCCATGGGACGCGAATATACACATCAGGGTGTTATTGATACCTAGAAATTATGGAATCATCAATTTTCTTCCAAATACTTTGATTATAATCCATGTCGATGGTACAGATCACCTTGTAACAGCCCCACGGGGTACCAAAAGCTACGCCGGGGATTAGGAGCTGAAATATAGCGCTAATTATCATAAATAAGCAAGAAAAATGTTGTATACAAGCTCTACCTGGAGCGTTAATGCCAAGAAATAGCGCTTTTGCATCTTCCTTGTGTTGGTGCTGACAACGTTGTGCACTTCATTAAGGACGAATACCGAATGGACGATCAGAGCTACCACCTGAAAAAGCTATTTACGTTAGTATAAGCCCAAACCTAGCTGAAGCCTAAGCTAAGCCCAAACCTAAGCCAACCCTGACCTGACCGCCGATTGCAATCATCGCAGTTAGAAGCATAATACAAGTAATTGACACTTGATTTCCGGTCATGTCCACAGCATAAATTGAGGTCTCACCATGAAGAACTGTGAGACATGGATATTTCTAAGAATGTCAGGGTATCTAAGGTTTCCGCGTTAACCACTTTGATAAGAAGTTTCATCTCCAGGGTGTCGAAACCGTCCTTGAGTGGTAGCTGCCAAATCGCCCAACAGACCACCAGTTCGCTTACGATGTATAAAAATGCCATATAGGTAACCCAGCTCCGTTTCGACAAGCTAAAAAGTTTTGAAATATGAAATTAGTTATTGATCTTCAATAGAAACCAAGCACTCTAAAAATACAAGCTTCAAATGATAATGACCTCCATCTGCTACCCGGGGGCAACATCTTCTGGTGTTTAAAAACAAAGTCTGGACGATGGCGGCCATAGTAAGAACGGTGAGAAAACCGTTGGTTGTCTTCAAATTAATCTCATAGCAAAACGACTACGTCTTATAAAAGCAGCCAGTCCACTGAATCCGAACACTGTACCCCAAGGCCCTAAACACGACCTCCAAAAGCCGGGCAACACAACTCAGGGCAAAGCTGTGAACAACATGCACTCGAATATCAGAGAAAATATCTGAAGAATCTTATCAGTTCGAATTTACAAAAAAACACGCAAACCTGAGAAGTCATTAAATGGACCCCGATCTCTTTCATTATAGGTGGGGATTTCATCATTATCAAATACCAGTGGAAAAAGACCGCTTCGCGGCCCTTTTCCACTGGACCCCGTCCAGGAACCATGAATCTGAACACCTTCCTTTTCCCCAGCCTGCGGCGCAAGTACTGGTCAAGAAACCATTCTTTGGCCTGCGGCGCGAGAGCCTGGATCAAGGACCCTTTCTTTGGCCTGCGGCGCTAGAGTCAGAGCAAGGCCTAAACCTCGCGCTAGAAACTTTTTGCCTGCGGCGCTAGTTACTGGTTGTTCTCGAGGATCTGGCCTGCGGCGCAAGAGCCTAGATCAAGGACCCATCCTGGCCTGCGGCGCGAGAGCCTGGGTCAAGGACCTCTTCGGCCTGCGGCGCTAGATCGAGGGTCAGCCTCAAACCTCGCATAGCGGAGCATAAGAAAAGATGTTTTGCTGCTAAACTACCAAAAAGCAAAAAGCCGAATTCGCCCAGGTTCCGAACCCACGTCCCTCCGCGTGTTAGCCGGGAGCTAACCCCATACACCAAGAGGTACATGGGGACAGGAGGGCGGGAAAGGCCTCTTCCCTTCTGGGGAGGGCCGAGCCAATGCCCCGGGCGGGAGGCCTTCTGGTCACCTTTACAAAATTCCATTTTTAGTTCAATCCGCTGAAAATTTGTAAAGATAATAAGATGCGCATGATCCCCACCATTGAATTCATATGTGGTCCAAATTACAGACCGAAATTCCATCTGGACTTCGAGTTATGGCCCGAACACCAAGGCTCTTGGCCGATTTTGTTAAGTACTTTTTAGAAAAATGCTCATAAAAACTTTATTTACAAAAACAGACAAAACGCAAATTATATATCTGGAGAATACGGTTCTCAATCTACCCTCCAAAATTAGAGCCCGATTCGGTCTGGTAATCGAGATATCTTCTGAACAAACCTTTGTTCGGCCAAGATGTTAAGGATTTTTCACTATTTTCCTTGTAAAATCGTTAAATGAAGGAATTTCGAGAAACAAAAAAAAAGTTCACTGACAAATGTGTTTCTCCACCTACATCATAAAAATCAGCCGGAAATTCGGCCTGGCGGCCGAGAAATCGGCTGAACAGAAAACAAACATACTTTTCTCGCTTATAGGATAGGATAAGGAAAGTATTGCCATTGGCACACTAATGATGGGCAGTAAATGACCATATGTGGAATAGATATAAGGGTACGTATACGGAACACAATGGCCAGGGCTTTGTAACTCCATATTACCGCCCTTCCGTCGAGTTAGCCGAATATTACCTCCAAGACGTTTGACCACTACATACACGCAGGTGGAAAGGCCATTGATTAGTTCGGTAGTTAAGTGAAAACGGAAGATTTCAGCGGTCGAGTCTAATACTTTTGAGTCTGGTACTTTGGGCTAGACGGCAAAAATAACAGAAGGCCCAGGAGTGCCTCTTTTCTGTGCTTTCAGGCATTTGTCATCAGGGCTGAACGCGAACGCCGTAAATTTGATTCCACGTTTTTCGGATAAAAATGCCGCTGATGGAATGTTTGAACGTTTGAATTATTGTAATAAAGAACCAAGCCAGAAGAAACTTGCCGATTGATCAATGGGCAAAAAATGTTGTTGGGATCATAAATAAAAGGGTAGGAGTAAGGGATGCACTGGTTGAAGTTCGTGGCAACCATCTTCAAATTTTGCGATTCACCAAAAGTTCGGGGTTTTTGAGACGCGTGAAGATTCTTCATTCCGCCGGGTGTTTTTCGCGCACAGGTAAAATTTTTTGGTGAAATAAGCCAGAAAGCCGAGAAAAACCATTCTGATAATTGGCGGTTTGACGTGGAAGCTCAGTCGATGGTCCTACATCATAGGCCAGAGATTAATCGATCGGTTAGTTTTCAAAACGTTGCTTTATTTCTCGATGAACTGTAAGTTTTGCCAGTGCATATGCTTATTTTTCCTGAATTCTTGGGTAAAACTTTATACATAAGTACAATTTGATTCTTTAAGTCGGGCCCGAATTCAAATCCCGCGTGTCTGATCGCGTTTCAGCGGAAGCAACCTGCCGTATTTTTGTCCTCTTCGACTTGGCCTTGTACAGGACCCTAAAAGCAGAAAAATCAAGTTTTGAGCAAACCGATACCCAAAGGTCATGTCATATGCAGCCACGCGGTACGGTTTATTAATCATGATGACGGCTAGCGAATGGCATAAGCCATGAGACGCAAATAAACCGATCAGGATGTTATTGATTTCTAAAGATGCACGATTAAAGGAGGGGATACTTCATGAGATGGAAACCCTACGTTGGTAGTAGTCGATGTCGGTAAACATAATCGCGGCATAGTACCCCCACGGGGTCCCAAATACTGTGATCGGGACTAGCAGCTAAAAAATTGCGTGGTTACTTTTTTCTTCAGTGATATGTTCTATGACTTAACCCCTCGTGTATAGCCCTCCCCGTGTAATCCGTAAAAATTTCATTTTACGGAGCTCCGAATTCCGTTGACCTAATAAGGTGTTTAATCTCTCCCGTTTCTTACAGATAACGCCGCTAGCAAATGGTATTTTTGCAATTTTGATGGAAATTAGTCCGTATTTGCAACAATCTGATGTGGTTAATGAAGAAATTGCGCAGCCTGATGACGGATCATATTGGCCTACAAACTTTTCCCCGAAGTACCCTACGCACATTATTTGGGCATTTGTATTGGTACACCCAAATTTACACGGACCATTTTACAAGTAGGTTTTAGGGTAATAGTATCTATGACGATGATCATCCAGTACCTGGAAGATAAGGGTGCCGAGATATCGCTTCTGCATCTTCCTTGTGTTGGCGCTCATATGACTTTGCGACTCGTTTAGCACCAAATAGGAATGAGAGATCAGAACCGTAACCTATTAGAATGATCTTTGCCCAGGCCAGCTTGTCTTACCTTGATCACAATCACAACGATCACACACAACAGGATTATTGCAGAAACGGTGACCTCATTCCCGCTCATGTCCGCAGCGTAAATTGCTGGCTCGTCTCGAAGATAGGCCAAGCAAGGGTATTTCTGTGGTGGATTAACGGTGGCCAGCTTCTAGATCGCATACCTTGACCAAAATCTGCATAGCCGGTGCATCAAAACCGTCCTGCAGTGGAATATGGCCGATTGCCCAGCAGAGGAGGGCCTCCATCGAAATGTATAAACCAGCGATGTATATCATCCAACCCGTTTTGGAGAACCTAAAAACAGGTCTGGGTCATGTTTAACAGCAAACTTGCCCACCTCCATTTACTGTTAACGGGCAGGAGTTTTTGGTGTTTGAAAAAGAGCGTTTGGATGATGGCGCACATCGTGAGAACGGTCATGAAACCGGCCATCGTCTGAATAGGCATCTGCCGCATTACTGAAACTACCTACGAAAGCGACCAAGCCATCGAGCCCAAATACTGTACCCCAGGGCCCTAGGACTCGACCACCAAAAGCTGGGCACCAGAATTCGGGGAGCGTAGTAAAGAGCATAAACTCGAAAGCTATAGAGAACACCTGAATCTGGTACTCGTACAGTCAAGACCATGGGCCCTAGACCTGCGACGTCACCAAATGGACCCGAATTTCCTTCATGATAGGGGGCGACTTTTTCATAATTAGATAAAGACCGAGTGTGGCCATCGGGACGCTAATGATAGGTAATAGGTGACCATATGTAACATATATGATAGGATACGTATATTGGGTGCAATGACAAGTAGTACCCATCGAGTCAATTTTAGGAAGTCGAGAACACGGATTCTTTTGTCGGCTGGGTCTTGGCGGAAAGAAGTAGGGGGTTTTGCCCGCGCTATACCCCACGACCGAGTTTTTTTCAGTAGCAGGTGGCCAGGCTTTTCGATTAATAGCTAGCAGGCAATGAGAAAGGGCAGTGTTTCTCGTGGTACTCACCGGAAACTTCGAAGTGAACGTACATACAGGGTGACCCAAAATAAGTGTATACAAACATAATGCCATATAAAAATATTTGTAGCAGGCTTCAAAACTTTTCGTAGCAACAACAGTAAAGATAAACAATAGTCTCAATATGGCCTATAACGATTTTTACCCTGTGGGCCCTAATCTCTGAAATACGGCCCCAGAAACCGACACCCGAATGTGGTCCGTGGCCCGCAACTCTTTGACACCTCCGTTTTGGCTCATAAAATTAGTTATATTTTTAGCGGAGCGAACTGCTGCCCTTAATCATGAAAAGAATTGCTAAATATTCTCCGAACGCAACCATCCCGAGTGCTAAAATACCAAAATACGGTCCCTGGAATTTAATTATGCATCCAGTTACCCAGCGGATCGAATTTCCCCAATCTCCGTCGCAAACTCGCTAATAACTTTCGGTAATGGCTGTGCTGCAGCATGTCTGGATTCTTTGGCTTGGTCCGCATTTGTTCGTTTGTTTGGTCTATTCCAGGCAGAGTCGGTGACTTTTTTAAAAACAAAAGTATCGAATGCTAGCCTCGGGTTCTGTTTTCACCGGTGCGACTGCGCATCACAAAAGGCTCATTATTTCGAAACCCTTGGTACATCATTATTTCGTTGTTTCTATGAAAAGTTTTGAAGCCTGCTATAATTTTTTTATATGGCATTATGTTTGTATACACTTATTTTGGGTCACCCTGTATATGTTGTGGATACTTTATTTTCAAGAACCAATGCGATACACGTTTTAATCCGACGCTGAACCAACGCTGTGTATTTGCACGCTGATCACCTTTGCCTTGCCCCTCATCTCGAGGTACTTTCTAAAAAAATTATTATAGAAGGTATGTGAATCTCACCCGATCGTCATTTTATATACCGCCACCCGGTACGGCTTATTGATCAGGATAACAATTGTCGAATGGCATAGGCCGTGAGTGGCAAATACGCCGATTAAAATATTGTTGATCCCTGGAACAGCAATTTTTCAAACATCAAAAAACAGAAATACACTGATAATAGTCAATGTCGGTAAATACGATAATCGCATAATATCCCCACGGGGTCGCGAATGCTACGAGTGGTATCATGAGCTGAAAAATATAATGGAGCCGATTTGCAAAGCCTGTAGGACGCCCCGAAATCGCGGCGGTCTAAGGGCTAGGCGACGCGGCGCTCCTATCAACTCAAAAATGTATGGGCCCAAAACTTTGGAGGCTTATATCTTGAAAGATACGGCCGATCTTAAAAAACGCGAATTACAGTCTTGTAGAAGGGAACATGGCGATTATAATGATACCAAGCACTAACAAAACTGAATTTAGAAAGTATGCTAACGAAGGCGGTTTTGGTGGGGGACTTTGTGAAAAGTGGTATTTCGGAGGGCTAACCTGCTGTCTTTGGTATCATTCGAACCGTAAAATTTTTCTCTGCAATAATTAATAATGGCTTTTCAATATTGAGTCGGTTTGGAAATGTTATAAGAGTTTAAACCTTTTGACGCGCGCTACGCCCGGCTCCAATTGACGCGTTTGCCCCTCCCGGCAAATTGCCGTTTTTGGCCTGTTTGATCGGCCGTGGTAAGCTTTGTTTGGGTCATGGTGAAAAAGACTGGTCTAGTTGTCTATTGCCTACTCTTATAGCGTGCCCCTATGACCGTAACCCTGCTGCCACGCTAAGGTGAGCCGGTTCTGAGAATTTCTCCCACTTTTATCGTCCGATACATTCTATATTCAACTACACCCGTCACCTTGCCGTAGTATCGAATAAACTTCTAGCGTTTATTTGATGCGGAACTCTGCACAGCACAGGACACAACAATTTGCCTACCTGCAGGGTAAGTATTGCAACGTAGCGCTTTTGCATTTTCCTGGTGCTTACACTCATATGGCTTTGTTCAGCGTTGAGGACGAGGAACGAATGTACGATCAGGAAAATTATCTGAATCTTGTTAGAGATAGGCAGACAGTCGTAAAACCCCACGGGAAACCCTCTAAAGTGATAACGCCTACCAAGGAAAAGACGACGGCGATCACCGTCAAAAGGACTATGCAGGAAAGTGCGATTTTGTTCTCGGTCCTATCGGCGGCATAGATGGAGCTCTCGCCACGAACGGTTGCCAAACAGGGGTATTTCTTGACAGGGGCAAGTCGGAGGTCTTACTATAATTTACTTACTATGATGAGAGCTTGCATGGCCGGGCTGTCAAAACCAGCCACGACGGGCAGACGTCCAATTGCCCCACAAACGAATATTGCGGTTGCTATATAAACGAGCGCCATGAAGGCGATCCAACTGCGTTTCGTCAGTCTAGAATGATATGGCAAGTAGTGAGGCGGGAATTTTCAAAAGTACAGGACCGACCTTCGAAAAGGGCTTGCACTACTCAACCCACTTTAATCGACTGCCACTATCCAAAATACGTTGGTGCTTGAAAAATAGCGTCTGAACGATGCCGCTCATCGTAAGGGTCGTCATAAAACCGGCCAATGTCTGCATAAAATACGAAGGTAAGCGAATGATAACTTACAAACGCGGCCAACCCATCCCATCCCAAAACCGTGCCCCAGGGCCCTAAAACACGACCCCCAAGGGCTGGGCACCAGAATTCGGGTAGGGTAGTAAAGAGAATAAACTCAAACATGATCGAGAATACCTCGAATTTTATTGGCATCTGCCGTTTGGTATAGTTTTTCCAACCTGCGACGTCAAAAAATGAACACGAATATCTTTCATAATCGCTGGGGATTTGTTGATGATCACATAGACAGATAGAAGAGCCATTGGCACACTAACAACAGGTACAAAATGGCCGTACGTTACGTAAATATGTGGATAGGTATAAGGGACACATTCCGGTGACTCCATCCAACCTTGAGAATGCAAAAACTTTTTTCAAGGGGGGGAAGTAGAGAAGCTTCTTGGCGGCAGGTGATAAAGAAATTGCCCCTTGCACGTACGTAGGTTTTTTGCTTCTGGTCGCCTGAGGTTCCTTACCTGGAAGGAAAATTCAACACCTACAGTACACATTTGCTGCCTAACATGCACAGGGTGTCCCAAAAAAAAGCGAATCATCTGGCTTTTCGCCGTGTTACAACCAATCGGCCACCTACATATGGTCACCTATTACCTATCATTAGCGTTCCGATGACCACACACGGTCTTTATCTAATTATGAAAAATTCGCCCCTATCATGAAGGAAATCCGGGTCCATTTGGTGACGTCGCAGGTCTACAGGGCGTCTCAAATATGGCCCTTCTGACATTTCGCCGTGTTACATCGAATCGGTCCCAAATCTGGACCAGAGGCGTATCAGATCCTAAATAACAACAATCCTGACTTATGGCACTGTATTCCTAAGCATCGTCCCTAGGGGGGAACAGTGCTTTAGCCCGAATCTTTGCTGTCGTCTAGTAGCCAAATTTTCGAAAACGCACCCAGAGTACAGCCAAAACACAGCCAAAACCGGACATGGTGCGTGAAATCTGATTCCGGTTGCGGCCAGATACCTTTACGGCACACTCCTTTGTTTGTCTGGTCCAAAAATTGGTGCGGATAATTGCGGATACTCCATTTTTCGTTATTTAGTTTAAGGTGCCGTGCCCGATTTTTGGCCTCTTTATATTGGAAAGTTGAAACATGACAGCTTACAAAAGAAGTAATTATCAAAAACTTAAAAATTGAAACAGAACGAAGAATCAGAATTAAGGGTTGGAACCGGCGACCAGAAAACAGCAAAATTTGTGAATATGCTTCGCGGATAGCGGACTGCTATGCTATTACAAATTGAAACACAAAGCGGGAGGTTTTCAGGCATGATTAATACATCGGCGAAGCATTGTAGGTATAAAAACTTTCACACAACCGCTTAATTTTGTCCAAATAATCAACGAGATGCTCCAGCGCTTTTCAGAGTTCCGGACATGGGAGTCGGCTCTTCAGCGCCGCTTTGAAAGATTTTGCTCGGATGCCGTGGCCACCACTGCAACTTCAGGATCTCCCGAGTCCGCTGGCGATATGTCTGAAAATACGGATAGTAAAAAGGAATCGAGGGCAATTATAATTCCTCAATTGTCGTGTAAAGCGCCAGGCACCTTAAAAAGTAGTAGAGCTAAAATCGCGTCACATCCGGAGTAGCCTCCTATGAAGAGTGGGGCGCATATTCCCCAGTTGTGGGGGACGATTCCTAATAAAATCGGGGGTATAAATTATGGAGAATCGGAAACTACCCGTTGTCCCTCCAATTAGAACCACAAAAACGGGCACGAATTCGAAAATAAACGGGGAGATCGCCTATAATTGCTGTACTTTAAAAAAATACATTCATTTTGGCCCTTGAAAACAGTTCCGAAAGCTGAAATAACTCCTCAAGGATCGCCGCTCAATTGCTATGATTATAAGGTTAAAATAGGG